TACTGTTTGGTAATTTAATCAGCTTGGGGGGGAGACCTCACAGGTCACAGGTGCACAGGTGCACAGGTGCACAGGTGCACAGGTGCACAGGTGGGGTCCCTGGGGCTCCTGCCCGCTGACGGTGGCGCTGTCTTCCGCAGAGTGCTCGCCCAGTCACTTCAAGTGCCGCTCCGGACGCTGCGTCCTGGCTGCCAGGAGGTGCGACGGCCAGGCCGACTGCGACGACGACAGCGACGAGGACAACTGCGGTGCGTGGGCCCCGGCGCGTGTCTTGCATGCGCGGCGGGGGCGGGCTGGGGCGAGAGACGGCGCCACAGATGCGGCTGTCCCCGTGGCAGGGAGTGGCGACTGGGCCGGGGTGCAGTGCCTTCGCCGCGGCTTCTCCTCCCCTCCCCCTCGTCCTCTCCCTCCTCCTCCCCTTCTCCATCTCCCTCCTCCCCATTCCCTCTCGTCCTTCCCCCTCTCCCCTCCCCACCTCATCCTCCTCACCCTCTCTTCCCCTCGTCCTCTCCCCTCCCTCCTCCCTCTCCCCTCCCCATCTCCTTCCCCTCTGCAATCCCTCCCTCCTGTCCCCTCCTCCTCGTCCTCTCCCTCCCCTCCCCTCCCCTCCCCTCCACCTTCTCTTCCACTCCACTCCTTCTCCCTTGTGTCCTCCTCCTCCTCCTCCCATCCCTTCCCGCCTCTCTCTCTCCCCCTGTGTCTCTCCCATCCCTCTCCCCCCTCTTAACCCTCCCTTCTGTCCTCTTCCCCTCCCCGTCCCCTCTTCCTCTCACCTCCTTCCCTCCCCTTTCCTCTCCTCCCTCCCGTCCTTCCCCTCACCCTCCATCTATTCCTCCTCTTCTCCTTCCCTTCTCCTCCCCCTTCCTCCTTCCTTCCCCCGCTTCCCCTGTCCATCCATCCCCTCTTCTGTCCCTCTCCTCCCGCGCTCCTCCCTCCCCCTCCTCCTCTCCTCCCTCCCATCCCCTCTCCTCCTCCCTCCTGTCCCTTCCTCCTCCTCCTCCCCTCGATCCTTCCCATCCCTCTCCTCTCCCCTCCTCCTCCATCCCTTCCCTTCCCTCTCCCTCCCTCCCCATTTTCCCTCCCTTCACCCCCTCCCCTCCCCTGTCTCCCCTCCCCTCCTCCCTCCCTCCCCGTTCTCCTCCCTCCTCTCTTCCTTCCCTCCTCTACCTACCCTCCTCCCCTTCCTCCTCTCCCCTTCTGTCCTCTTCTCCTCCTCCCCTCCCTCTCCCATCTTCTTGCCCCCTCCCATCCCCTCACCATCCCCCTCCTGTCCCGTTCCTCCTCCTCCTCCCTTCTTCTTCCTTTGTCGTCATCCTCTTCGTCTTGCTCAGTCGCCCAGGCTGGAGTGCAGTGGCATGATCACAGCTCACTGTAACCCCAGCTCCTGGGCTCAAGCCATCCTCCTGGTTCAAATTCCCAAGTAGCTGGGACTACTGACACACGCCACCACATGTGGCTAATTCTGTTTTTTTTTTCTTTTTGAAGAGATGGGGTCTTGCTATGTCG